GAAGGAGGACTGCGTCGAAGTTCTCGGTGCAGCTTGAGCCGGCGCTCGGCGCTCAGCCGCTGCGAATCAAGGCGGGCGGTTGGTTGTGGCGTGAGCGGGAAGATTCACTGTCTGGCTGTGGCAGGCGGCAGGCCTGCAGTCCCTCCGACGCGTTGAGGAGCAGGCGGCGGCCGCTGCTCGCCTCGACCAGCGCGCACGGCGTAGTGCCGTCGTCCCCAGTGCCGACGCACGTGATCTGCATGGGGTGTGGGGCAATGGGGCGCCCTAAGCACAGCCGCAGCGCAGCGTCGCAACGTCGAACGGGCCGGGCGAGGCGGGACGCCTCCGTGCCCTTTCGGAATTCTTTTTTCCGCGGATAACTCCGGCGACAGAAGGAGCCCGAACCCAGCGCGTTCGTCGATGGTGGGAGGCTAGTTTCCTAACCGGCAGGCCCAACGATGCCCAAGAAGAAGCCGCAGCTGCCGCTCTGCACGTACGGCGCCGCCTGCACCAGACCCGGCTGCATCTACCGCCACACTCCCAAGGGCGCCGTGCGGAAGAGCGAGATCGTCTGCAAGCCATTCCTGTCGGGATTGTGCGAGTTCGGGTCCAGGTGCCAGAACATCCATCCCGGGCCCGAAGAGGCGGACAAGCTGCGCCGCAAGCAAGTACGCACTGTCCTGATATCCTCTGTTGCCGACAGCGATTTCTTCGCCTCGGCGGCTCCGGTGGTGAGCAGGTGTGTGTGCCAGTCCGCGCCAGCCGCGCCCTTGTCGTGCCAGTGTGCTGTGAGAGAGGCTGGTATTTTGCATTTGGTGATTTGCCTTTGGTCAACAGCGAGGGCTATCGGGCGCGGCCGTTCAAGGCCGTTTTGAGGCCCAAGAATGCCCAAGAAGAAGCCGCAGCGACTGTCTGTCGTTCTCCACACCGCTTTGGTGGGCAGACGGTGAACGAGCTAGCGTGCGGGGAGAGCGGCTTTGTGCACAAACCTTTAGTGCATTGCCGTTCTTACCGGAGTCGCTTAGGCGGGACAGTAGGCGGCTCCGGTGGTTTGCTTGTGATAGATAGTGCTAGCACGCGCCAGTCCGCACCTATTCTTTTTTCTAAGCAAAATTCTTTACCACAAAACTAACCACGACACACGACCCTGACGGCAAGGAGCCCGAACCCAGGCGCGTTCGTCAGGGGAGGCTGTTAACCGGCAGGCCCAACGATGCCCAAGAAGAAGCCGCAGCTGCCGCTCTGCACGTACGGCGCCGCCTGCACCAGACCCGGCTGCATCTACCGCCACCCTCCCAAGGGCGCCGTGCGGAAGAGCGAGATCGTCTGCAAGCCATTCCTGTCGGGATTGTGCGAGTTCGGGTCCAGGTGCCAGAACATCCATCCCGGGCCCGAAGAGGCGGACAAGCTGCGCCGCAAGTACGCGCTGATAGCGTGCGAGTGGGGCAGCGCCTGTAAAAACCGCGGCTGCCTATACCGCCATCCGGCGCCAGTCGACACGCTTGCCGGAACGCTCGCGGCGGCCAGCCTCGGCGGCGGCGCCAAGCACGCAGCAGCAGCCGCGCCGGTCGGCGGCGAGCTGGCGGCGCCGGCGAGCGGGCAGAGGCGGATGCCGCTGCTCGCGGGCGGTGTGTGGCAGGAGGACCTGTTGGAGACGGAGGCGGCGGCAGAGGCGGCCGAGGCGGCAGAGGCGGCGGGAGAGGAGGCGGCCGGGGCGGACCCGCCGCCGGCGCAGCCACTCGACCTGCTGCTCTGCGCCGAGTGCGCGAGCGACTCGGCCGCCGGCGCCATCGACCCCGACGATGGCCTCTTCTACTGCGACGCTTGCTGGCGCGCCTTTGAGGCGGAGGCCGCGCCGCCGCAGGCCGTGCCACAGGGCGCGCCGTCACCG